CCCCAAATCTTAATATCAATGTAAATAAAAAAAAATGTACCCACTGTATTTGTAGACTCAGCCTTTAGTAAATCTTTGATAAATGAAAATAATAAAAGGAAGAATAAATAAGAAAATTTTCGACATATAATAGGAAAGATTTGAATACCGGGAAATGAAATGAAATACTAGCTGGTCTAAAGGTGAAGATTATATATAAACAAAGCTTCTATTGCGAATCACGTAACAAATTTATCATTTGTCCTTAATCATTAGCACAGTAAACCTATTCCGCTGGAATCTCTTGCGTAACATTAAGTAAAACATGGTAAATGTTAAAATATTGGCATATTCTAAACGTGGCAGATTTGTCGAGCGGCAAAAGCAAGGTCTCTCTCAACGTGACATTGCAAGTAAGATTGGATATAGTAAAAGTGCTTAAAAGTCCCTGAAGGACATGGAACGAGAATTCCATGTAGTCGACACAAGAAAATTTAGTCGAAGTTAAGCAGGAGGATTCGATGATTTGTCGCGCAAGACACCAGCCGATCATCGAATCAGATTATAGCCCTCACGGACTCAGAATTCAACTCAAGAACAATAAGATGGTAAGAGAAAGGTTTGAAAAAGCATAAACGTCTTTAAAGTCCACACCTCTTTCCACGCCACAAATCAGCTCGGTTAAAATTTGTATGGGAACGCCAAACGTGAGACATAGAAAATTTGAAGACGGTTTTGTTCCCTGATGAGAAGAAAATCGGTATCGTCCAGATGGCTTCTAAAATTAATGGCACGATAATGATTTCCCAAGGGCGATATTTTCTACACGACATGATGGAGGATGTTCCATCATGATATGGGATGCTATCGCCTTCCAGAGAACAATGGATTTTAAGGTTATACAGGGTCGTCAAACTGCGGCTGGTTACATTGTCATGTTGAAGAGAACATCTTTATTAACTGAAGGGCCCCATTTGTGTGGAAATGACTGGAGCTTTCAGCGGGAAAACGCAGCAATCTCTAACACCCACAGGACAAAGGATGTTTTCATGACGAATAACGTGATTATTTTGTGCCATCGAGCGTGTTCACCCGACATGAATACCATTGAAATTTTTTATATGTGAATGACAAGGGAACTCTATAGAAATGACCGTCAGTTCCAAACAGTGGATAATCTTCGTGACTCGATCTTCACTACGTGGAAGAAAATTCAAGCCAGCCATCCACAGACGCTTATATCGACCATGCCAAAACGAATTTTTGAAGTTATACACAGCGACAGCCTTGCAACTCATTACTTAGACGGCTTGTTGTGCATTTTCCTAATCGGTTTAGGATTTCTTTTAGGCATAATATAAAATATTTGAAGACCTGATATTTTGCATAATTTCACAGTATTCACATTTTTCCGATTAAATATTTTTTTCCTTTCCTTATTTTGGTTTTTGGAAGCTCTACTCAATAAGTACTTGTGTCTATCTATATTTCGGAGATGAGATATTATGTACACTATTTACATTATTCGGACTATTGTTCTAATCTTTGTTGCCATATTTATCCCAACATTTCGGACGTTGAACTGATGGAAGTTAAAAAAAAGAGTTTTCATTAGATTTTGTTTCTCAGGATTCACTATCGTGAATAAAAAAAAACTCCATTCAAGAAAGAACAATATAAATCAGACTAAGAAAGGGTAAAGACTAAGATGTTTTGATCAGGGTCTTCTGGGGAGCGGGAGATTTTATTCAGGGTAAAAAAGTGTGGGATAGTATTACGAAAGAGTTTCTGTCAAGATTTCTGAGATGAAGTATTATGTACACTAATTACATCATTCTGACTATTGTCCTCATCTTTCTTGCCATATTTCTCACAACGTTTCGGCCGATGTACGTTCCTCCCTTCTTCGGGGGAACCGAACCCTCGACATTCCAACCACCTGAAGTAGGCCGGAGCGTACAACTGCTGAAACGTTGTGAGAAATATCGCAACAAAGATAAGGACAATAGTCCGAATAATTGTAAATAGTACACTTGTGTCTAACAACAAAAAAGATATATTTGTTCTTCATTTACATTGGCCTTAAGATTTTGACCACCAGTATTTGTCAAAAGACATAAATGACCATAATATGGGCCCAAAGGTTCAATCGAAGCAAATCTTCACCGGTGAAAGACAAGTCTATAGGAGCTAGAGATAGAGTTGAACTTCCTTATTGCAAGCGGAATAAGAATCAAGTGAAATGGATTCAACACTCAATATGAGGCAGGTCAGGATCCAGATGGAAATGTCTAAGCCTTTGAAACTAAGGAATATATCTCGTTTGAAACTTAGCCTGGGAAGTACCGATAAGCTTGCGAGGATTCGTCTGAATAAAATAAGTTGGAGGGTAGAAAATTATTAAGCGTACTTAAGTCTGCGTAAACGCTTTTGATTTTTTGTCATAGTTGGAAAGAGAGGATTGGGTAGCTCCTCCCCCAATATGTCAGCAGGCACTTCCTGCATCGTCACAAATAAGTGACCATGTTCCCAGGATCTTTAGCTATGAATTATTTATACGAGTTTCCCTCTTGGCGACTGGAATGAACTTAAATCCAAGTCGACGTTTACTGGTAGGAACCCGATTTAAATTACAACAACTGATGATGACCGGAAAAAAATTCAGGGTATATTACAAGCCAGGCTTTATCCATTGATCTATTAGGGATGGATCAAAAGAGGGATCAGCTACTGACTTTGATCATCTAGGTATTTGGAGATGCATTCCTAAATCAATACATCACCGCTACAGATATATATTAGGGCAGATCGTTAATATACAGCACAAAAAGAATAGGACAGAAGGGAATGCTTTGTGGACGCCTGAATCGATTAGACAGACTTCAAAAACTGACCATTAATAGAATTAATACGAAATAGCCAATGTCCGCCTATCCGGAATGTTAACACAGACAACGATAGGGGATAATATTTAAATAAGCAGAAATTAGTAATGAATTTTGATGAGAAAGTTACGTATTATGATTAAATATGATAAATTTTGAAAAGACGAAGTGAAAATGGAGACTGAAAATGATTATATAGAAGATGTTTATCGAGCGAAAAGAATAAAAAGAAAAAGAAATAAAATTTTAGATTTATGAATGTCAATGCACGAGATATTGAACAAATAAAAAATAATAATAACAGAACAAATAAAAAAAAAGAATCGAAGAGAAACTAAGCAAGAAGAGACAGTCATGACATCGAAATAGGTGCACTGGAGTGAACTATTGATGTTGATTGAAAACAGGTTTGGCTTCATTTTAGACACAACACGTATAAAATTAGATTCCTAACTCAAATGGCAATGACAGGTAAATAGAAAACCCCACACGAGTATAACAATCTCGACCAATAGAAAAGTAATATGCGCGTGGTGTTATAGATAGTGACTCGGGGAGACAATTTCGAAGAGCAGTCGGGATCGTTACATTAACTTACGAGAAAATACATAATATCAAATATGAATTCTTCTTATCCCCGCAGCTATAGGTTAAATAACAGGACTTGTATCGAGAAATATTGTGAAAAGACACACAGACATGCATTTGTTTGTTTGTGTGTTTTTCCACTTCATTCTTTCTTCGTCCTGGGTATGATGATAAACTACATCCGGCTGCAAGATATATGATCTGGAGGTTGTGTGGAGCGTGGAACCACCTGTTAATTGTTGTTGCTCCCAGTTCTATCCAGAACCGGGTTTACGGTCCCAAAAATAGGTAAACACTAAACTGGGCTGAAAACACTATAATAAGTATAAAAATAGATTTTTATATTAAAAATACCAGCAACGCATTTTTGGAAAAAAAATATTACCCGAAATAGTCTCGAAAAAAGACATCTTTTTAAAAATACCTCAATGAAACCTGATATACACACTGATTTCTTATAAATTGATACGAACCAATCTTAACAATACTGTCGGCATCAAATAACCCATTGAGATTGATATGCCGTAAAACAAAATAAACCAAAGTCATTTTTTTCTATATTTGCAAACACGGGGGTTTGATTTTATTTAGCGGCATATAGACCTCTAATTTCACCACTACAGCTACAGAAGATGTATTGACCGTTTTACTGTAAAATGTCTTGTTAATTCTGCCATAAAGTGCATTGTTGATGATATATATATATATATATATATATATATATATATATATATATATATATATATATATATATATATAAATAAACCTAGAGTGCCAGACAAACCTACTGAGCCAGCCTTCCCTGATAATCCGCTTAGGTGAAACTTTGGTAGGTGTGTCTGGATCTCCAGGTTTAACTAGGTGTGCTCTACTAATATTGAGCACTTTATTTAGTCATTTTGCGTACTCGCATCGGGTTTTTTTTCTTTAGGCCTTGGACTTGCATCCTGGACAATTATTTTCGGTTAACGTACATGTCCTTGGTTCTTTTCTTTTTTTATACTTTTTTTCCCTTTTGTATTGGCTTGTTTATTTGCAAATCAAGACACCGAAGGTTTCCCAAGTGAGCATAGTTGCTTATACTTATAAGATTTCTATTAATATATATATATATATATATATATATATATATATATATATATATATATATATATATATATATATATATATTCCTAGTATTTTTTTACTATTAAAATATATTCTTGTAGTTCCATAGTGTTTTATTTGAAGACTCACCATTGACTTATGTCAGGGATTTTAACAGATGCTACTACCGAAGATCATGTTGGACCGGCGAACATCAAGTAAGAGAAGGTTCCAAGATCCTCAAAACCACCAACCACTCGATCAGAGGTCTTACTGCCGAATGTAGTTTATCATCTGTCGCCGAACTGCAGTTTTTATGGAAAAAAAAACAAACAATCTCGTGTAGCTTATATTTTGAATAGGATAGAGGCGCGTATAATAGGGGATGATAAAATAATTTTGGAATAGTAATGATGGATTCTATTTTAGAAAGACTCTTCAATATCTCTCTTCCTATTTCAGTCTCTTTATTATCTATCTATCTATCTATCTATCTATCTATCTATGTTCACTCAACACTGAAGATATTTATTTCCGATATAAAAACATACAAATAATTTTTCATCGTCAGACGGAAACATTTCAGAAACATTTCTCTTTTAAAATACTTTATAAGCAGAACGAATTCTAACACGAATTTGTGCAAAACATATTTAGTTATTTCTTTTGAATGAAAACACTTTCTCATACTTTTAGGTCCATCTCTCCATTGTGAAGGTACTTATTACATAATAGATTTTCGCATTCTAATATTTGTTTGACAATAAATATTGTATAACGATTTTGAAACATTAATAAATGGTGACATTATACATAGATCAGTGCTAAGCTCTTGTAAAAGTGTCTTATGCACTAGCTATGTACAAAGATTTCTACTCAACGTAATTATAAAGTTTATATTGTTTATATTTGAAAGAAATAATATGGGGTTGTAAGTAAATATTCTTAGAAATTATATTGCTTCATTTTAGGTAAGAAATTAAAGTTGGTTTCGATTTTCGGAAGTCTCTTCAATAACTATCTAATTTTTAAAAAAAATAAAAGGAAATATTAATTGAACCTTGTCTTGGCTTGATATTTTTTTTGTTGCTGGAATATCTAAAGAACACCTGGCTTGTAGGTGGCTTCGTCAAGGGGGAATAGGTTCGATCCTTGTCGTAGAGCATATTCTCTTTATTAAGGGTTTGGATTATTCAGGCAAGCAACTGTTAATTACACTGTCAAAAAGAAAGCAATGCAAAAAACAAAAAGTAGGTGTCGAATTGCATTTGTATCCAGTAAATATGTTTGTTGTAAAAATGGCTATTTTGTATAAATCGTATGATTATCATTGATTCAATGGAAGCGAAAATGAAATAACATATCAGCAGTAGGAAAAATCCGCAACGCGTGTATTTCTACGTATGCTACTCCACACATTATTTTAAAGGTTTAGAATAAACATTTATTTTTAATGGTCATGAGTTCGATATAGATTGAAACTGTCCATCTCTAACTTACATTACATAGTTTATTCGGATTTATTTATATATATATATATATATATATATATATATATACATAATTATTAATATTTTTCCTATAAAGAGTGACTCCTTACTATTTCTTCAGCTAAGGTTTTCCGTTGACGTAAATGGGGAAGATTATATGTAATAAATAGCTAGTTCTGATGCTATAAAAGTTGGTTCACTTTGTTGTGCTAGAAAATTTACTTCTCGATAGTATCTATCTTACATAGTTTTATGTCGCCCATTCTTTATGCATTGGATATTGATGTTACATCTGATCTGGTATTATGTTATCATATGTATGTACAGATTGTTCATAATATACAAATAATCATGTGCAATTTATTTAATATTGATATAGTATTTCGGTTTCATTCACTTTCACACCGCAGTAACGTAGTTTCCGCATGTCTTTTCTTTTCATGACGAAAAATGAACGGCTTGCAATCAAGATACCATCGATTTTAAGTAATAAGTAAATTCAAATATCTTTGCTTGATTATCAATTAATACAGCAGGATAAAAATAATTTCAAGAGCATCCCGATGTTGCAAATCTAAGAGCCATCTGAAAAGAACATCTATCTGATCTAAAGAAAAATCAGTCTGTTGCTTCCACTAAACTTCGATCTTTCTGCAAGGCTGAAAATCTTAGATATTAACAGCGGAATTCCAGCGAAGAATCCAAATATCAGAAGTGATACAATTCAGAACCAGACTACGTACACTGCATGAAAAAAAATGTTGTGGAAGACATTACCAAACAAGAGATAGGCCTGGCGGAAGACCTTATATTCACTGCTAACATGACTAAATTAAAATTGCATCCTGGCGTCATTAAGAACCAACATTCTTTAATCTGCCATTCTATAAAGTTCCAGGAAAAGGAAGAAGAGACAAACAGAAGAAAACGAGCGGACAACATTGATGAGTCGACAAGAAGAACCTTCACAGAGACCCGGACTTTGGCACACAACCGAGGTATACGTAGAAGGCTGCTCAGGCACTCAACTGCACAACGATCTTACGAAAAACCTGCTGATATGGCTGATGGTGACGATCGTGTTGATTATATCGTTTTTTTTTTTTTTATCAAACCTGAAAAGGTTAGTAAAGCCTCACAAGTTTATCCATAGATTTATAGACAAATGGGATAAATTCTGGAAAAGGAAATCTTAACTGTTCCGGAGTTGGTTTTATTATGTCAAAGAACTCACATGCTTCGGATAGCATAGTTTTAACTTCCCTATGATAAAACAGTAGGTGACGCATTTGATTAAAGCTGATAGAAAATATTGCAAAATCTATTATGAGAAAGGACGTACGGGTGAATATTCGGACACGTACATACACAGGTATTATGTATTTTATAAGTCGTATATATTCTGACGGAAAAGAATTTTCGAGAGACTGTGATTGATTTGCTGTTTCATCGAGGTAAAATTCATGTGCTAATAGAAAACCTCAATATTTGGCCTCGTCATTTGTCATCGATAAGATCGGAAAATGGGTACCAGGTGAAATGGGTAGTCAGTGACAATGTAGAGATATAGGGGGAGAGTATATGAGGATAAAAAGAGGCAGGAGATTTTACATTAAACGCAGTAAATCTTTTAGGAATTATTAAACACATAGCTATATCCCAGATTTCATATAATTCAACTATATGACCTGCCAATATATATATATATATATATATATATATATATATATATATATATATATATATATATATATGTGTGTGTGTGTGTGTGTGTAAGTGTGTGTGAGTGTGTGTGTGTGTGTGAATGCGTGTACTCAACTGCTACACAAATCTATTCCCATAAACATGTATAAGGGGTTCAAAGTAACGTCATATATATATATATATATATATATATATATATATATATATATATATATATATATGTGTGTGTGTATGTATGTATGTATGAAAAAATTTCTCAGAGTTAACCTGTAGAAAAGACAATATTTATAAATATAAATGACAAAAGGAAAACTGTAGTTATTGTTGACGCGTTTCGCCCAATGTGGGCTTTCTCAAAGCAAAAAAAAAAAACGAAATGAATTTAATTAACGAAAGTAACTAATAATAACAAAAAACAGAATGTTCTCAGCAACTGGAGGAATGTAGAGGACGCTATTTTCATATTGTTAACTGAAAATAACGTCAGGTTTTCTTTCCCTATATCCCCTTTCTTAACGAAATTACTCCTCTCCCAAACAAACGTACACAACAATATCGTAAAATCAAAAGAAAATGGTTGAATCCGACAACACAGTTATAATGACAATTTTCTCCACACGGGACAATAACTACCGTTATATTATAAAAAAAAGTAATAAAAAATATTCGTATCATATTTCTTACGTTTTTTAGTTGAGATGTTTGAGCAAATTAAAGTTTTCGAATTTTACAAACATTTCGGCTTCTTTAAACGCCGTTAATGTTTGTTATTGAACTTGTGGTTTTGAACTGAGATAAAATTCAAATCCAGTGGGCGTTAATTGATTTGGTTTGAGAATCACAAACCTTTTGATAACGACATCCGATAAAAAGATTTTGTTTTTGTATTTTTTATGACATATGCCTAATTTTATTCTGATGTTTTGCTCCAGTCAGATGGAGCTATTTATAAATTGTGAGGTGTATGACTACCAAAGTTTCAAACATTTTACAAAACTTCAGTTTGTCTTGTTAGTGGGTTAATAGGTGATTATATACAGGAATATGCGAAAATATGTAAAGAAGCATATTAAATAACAAGAAGAAGAAGAACAACAACAACAACAACAATAATAATAATAATAATAATAATAATAATAATAATAATAATAATGTGGAAAATGAAGACAACAATAATTTTATTTTTAATATGATCCCTCAGATTTATTGGTAAAGTTTCTACTAGACTCATTGGGGCTAATCACTGTAAGTCCATGCCTGAAAGAAATACAATAGAATTATACACTTATGTACAGCTCACACAGTACGAATAGCTTTAGCTATGTAAAATGTATGTGATCTCTATATGTTTGTTCTTATAAAAATCATCAATGGAAAATTTTATGAAGTCATTTCTGACATTAATTTGTTGGTTGTATAACAAAAATCAAAGGAAATAATAATAAAATAATAATAATAATAATAATAATAATAATAATAATAAACACAAAAAAATTAGTTTAGACCCTGCTGTAAAATTTAGTTCCTAGGTGTAAATGAGTGAAGGAATTCACCCAAAATGAAAGAAATAGTGGAAAGAGTACTATAGGGGTACACTGGAATTAAAAACTGAATTGAATTCTCAGAACAGAATTATGGCCATTAATAACCTTATCCCAGTGGTCCAATATAGTTTCAACATCTTGAACTGGACTCTAAATGACATCAGACAAATGGATTCTAAAACAAGAAAGCTTGCATCCAAAGAACCTCTATACATACCCCGTAAAAAGAAGGTGGAAGAGGTCTTATTCAGCTAGAATTGTCATACAAGACAACAACTATTGGCTTACTAACTAAACAACAAATGACTTGATAAAATTAGTGAAACAACATGAAAACAGAAAGAAAAAATATTCAATAATAAAAGAAGGCAGAAATACAAACAACATTTACATTTAGTAGATTCTGTAGTAAATCAAAACAGAAGAAGAACCAACTATTGCAGCAAAAGATATGAAAAAGAAAGCCAAGGATAAAGCCCTGAACAGATGAAAACAACGCTGGCAAGACAAACTTTGCATGGCCAATATCCAGAACGTGCAAATAAACCCAATGTTGATAAAGTTATATTAAAGTAAACTAAGGCTTTATTCTTGCATATATTTTTTCATATCATATAATAATATGGATAAATATATATATATATATATAAATGAATATAAAAATCGTCATATACACTGAGAATGTGCAAACACTTTGGAAAATGTGTAAAACACTGGTAAAAACAGAAATTTACCATTCTGATTATACCATCCACACAGACAAACACATTATTGTCAAAAACCAGAAAGAAAAACTCCTATCAAAATACAAAGACCTAAATTGAAATAGAAAAAAAAATGTGAAAACAAGAATAATACCAGTGGTAATAGGTGCACTTGGAATTATAAAATGG